GACTCCCGAACCTCTGGAGGAGTCATCGCTGCCACCTGACGAGCCACCTGAGCTGTGACCACCGGAGGTGTGGCCACCGATGACAGTGGGGTCCAAACATGTAGATAACTGTCAGGAGCCCTTTAGCCAATCAGTGACAGCTGGGACTACGAGGTATGAAAGTCTCTGATTAATAGGTTGGGATCTGAAGAGATCTCATCCCTGCCTTGCTCTTTCTTCAATCATTTTCATTAGTACTACATCTGTCAGTGTGGAATTCTTCTTGATTCGACATATGCTGAAACCTTCTCTTTTTTAGGGTCTCAAGGTGAAATCACATGACAGGTGCCTACTTTTGCTTTCTACTTCGCAGATGTCTAATAACAAATGTGAGACACTTTTCTGCCTGAATCTCTTTCATCATTTCCTCACTGCAAACCATTCTGTCTCCGTCTCTGTCATCTATAATGTAACACTGAGCTCAGACTGAAGTCAGACATGGTTTCATCTACAGACAAACAAACAAGAAATCACATGGCTTTCTGCTTTTGTCATCCCTGCCTTTTGACAATAATCCATGCAAAGGATGGATGGATGGATGCCCTTATCCATCCATCCACTGGTACATCCAATCATGAGCAATTAAAATAAAAACAATAAAATGTTAATATAACTTTGAATGTGCCATAGTGACCATATATTGTAAGAATTGAATCACAATGTACCATAGAACTACAAACATTTAATCAGTACCCCAGCATATGATGTATAAACAGTGTTGTGTTTGTATAAGTAAATATATATTTAACGTTATTAATATAGGTAGATCACTTTAGAACAGTAGATCCCGAGCCAAAAAGTGTGAATGAAAATAAAAGAAATAACATTTGCAAACAGAAGTAGAAGTAGATCAATATCATACCCAATTCAAGTAAGTTTTGTTCCAAAAACAAGAACCCACAAAACTCACTAGTACATTCTTGCAAAAACAAATCCATACCACAGTCTGTTCTGGTGAAAGAAATGCCAGAGAAACACATTTTTACACAGCTTCATGGACACAAAGACAAAACGTCTAACCTCCATAATTCCTCACTCTGCCCTGTACCACAGCTACATTGGAACGAACAAGACACGAAGGCTTTACTCAGTTCAGGGTTAATCCAAACTGCACCGCCTTGATTAAATGAACACATTCCTGAAAAGTGAGTGAAAATCCAGAGACAATGGCCTTTTTATCTTCATTCCTTTTTAAATGCTTTGTCATATTAGGATTTACGGTGTAGACACACACAAGAAAGGTCACCAGCCAATCATAGGGCTGCATACATAATAAAGACAATAAACTAAGCTCCTAAATCTGACAGAAAACAGAGCCAGTATGTCTATGTGGGCCAAGACTCACTCAAGTGAATTTAAAGGTACACTGTGCATGATTTAGCACTTCCTAGAGGTCAAAAAGTTGAATAACCTAACTCTATATCTCTTACTGAATCATTGGAGAATACCAACATGAAGTATTGTTAGTGTGTGTTGTTAAAAATGCACGCATCAAAACAGCAATGTAAAACAACTGATCCAACAGGTCTTACTAATGATGTTATATATCGGGCTGACAACCAATATAATTAATCACAGGTTACCTGTGGATTACTAATGATTACTCATAATCGATTGTTATAGGAATTAGACCAACCACGAGGGTACACAAATCAGTGTTTTATAGTGCCGGTCCCAAGCCCAGATAAATGGTGAGGGTTGCGTAAGGAAGGGCATCCGGTGTGTAAAACGAAATATCAAATCACTAAAACGATTTCCACACCGGATCGGTCGAGGCACGGGTTAACAATGACCGCCAACAATGCCGTTGACCTACAGGGCACTGATACAGACACAGACACAGAAATTGGGCTACTGTTGGCCAAAGACAGAGAATAAGAGGAGGACGTTTGGTTAGGAGAAAAAGAGAAAAGAGGAAGAATAGAAGTGTTGGTCTGAAGTTTGGAACTCTGAATGTAGGTACAATGACAGGGAAAATAGACAAATAGCTGATGTGATGGAGAGAAGAAGAGTAGACATTTTGTGTGCAGGAAACCAGGTGGAAGGGCAGCAAGGCTAGAAACATTAGAGGAGGCTACAAACTGTTTTATCATGGTTCGGATGGGAAGAGAAATGGAGTAGGGGTGATTCTAAAGGAAGAATATGTAAGAAATGTGGTAGAGGTGAAACGAGAGTCAGACAGGTTGAAGTGTGTGAAGGTAGAAATAGAAGGAGTGATGATAAATGTTGTTAGCAGTTATGCCCCACAGGTGGGCTGTGAGTAAGAAGAAAAGGAGTTCTGGAAGGAGCTGGATTGGATGATAGAGAGTATCCCCAGGGGAGAGAAAGTGGTGATTGGAGCAGACCCAAATGGTCATGTAGGGGAAGGGAACAGAGATGAGGAAGTGATAGGGAGAGAAACTTGGAAGGACAGGCAGTGATAGATTTCGCAAAGAGAATGGAAATGGCTGTGGTAAACAC